TAGTCTGCCTGATATTCTGCAATGTTCCAGATCATTATTTTGCTGATTTTGCACACATTTACACCTGTTTAGTAGTGTTCACACAGCCCTAAGCAGCCAACAATATATCTAAATTAATGAAACTAAGTAATCAAGCATTATTCATTTTGCCCTACGACTAATTAAATGTTTTATGATAAATTGCTGTCAAAATTATTATAAACCGTTTTAGTCATCCAAAGGTAAATATATTCTCACAAAGTCTTACACTGTGATTCATGAGGTGCCTTAAAAATATAGTTCTGTTTCTTTAAATGGCCTGTCCGGTGCAACCGCAAACTTGGCTCAACCAATGGAATTAATTTGAGCGTGACACTTTAATTGTTCGACCAATGAAAAAAATAGGAGACACATTTGGGAAACATGTCTGTATACAGTAATTATTTTAGCAATTCTGTTTAGTCGCATTAGTTTTGCATAAATTACTCCATGTGAATATTAAGATACAAGTTTTCACCACAAAACTGTTATGCTTAAACAAATACGTATGGCTAAATACAAAATAAATACAAAAAAAGCAACACATATATAATTTTTGTGTTGATCTATTGTTTGGCTGCAATCACTATCTATCAGAACTTCACTAGCGTTGCACTGACGGACTGTGCACGTTGATTGTTATAGCTTGTGGAAATTTGGACGTTCCAGCAGCCGGTGGCGCTGTTAGAATGTATTCAATGATTGACCAATCAGCGCAGCAGAAAGTGCGCTAGGGGCGGGGTTATTCTGTTCGTAAGACTCTAACAATGAGTAATGGTATAACGTTTTACTCCTGAAACAACTTTGGAGTGCGTAATTTATTGTAAAAACTACAAAAACGTATAATTAACTCAAAAGAAATACTACGCAAACAAAGGCGAAATCGTCGATATTCTTATTTTTTTGGACTAAATTTTTTTTTCTGTGTGTGTTTTTTTAATTTTGATTGAAATCAACATGTAAATCAACAGGTGTAAGCAGGATCGAATTGATCTATTATTGACATTAGACAGAAACAGTTCAGATCTTCCGGTTACGATTCAGCGTGAAGTGATAACAAATCCCGTTACGAGTTAAAATAAAGTTATCGCTGTGGCGTTAGGGTCGTAAACAGCGAATCCCGAGTTATTCAGCTTTCGAATGACATATTGTTTGGACATTTTGATTAAAACTTTAATGTTTAAATCGTGCGGTATATCTAAATAAACAAACATCTGAACCAGCGATGGTCTCGAGGAAGTTAATAGATTAAATGGCCCTGATGACGCGAGCTGGAAAAACATTGATCTGAATGATCAAACTGGAGAAATCACCATCAGAAACATCCGAAGAGATCAGACTGGAGATTATAAAGTGGAGATCAACACCAGCAGTATGATCTTACACAGAAAATTATATATTGCTGTTGGTGAGTAGCTCCAATTTTCTGCAGGGTTATAAGATTTTATATTAAATATCATTTCAGGTATACTACTAACTCTTCAGCAAACAGTTCAGTTGTTCAAATTAACAGCTAGTCTAAGATTACAATACATTTAACAGAATTTCAATATTAAAGATATAGTCTGCAGCTATAAAGTATAATAAGAATGATAATAGGCCTACATGTTTTCATGTAGCCTTTACAGCCATTTAAAATCTGCTCACAAAAAGGCTACTCCTGTCCTGAGAAGTCAGTTCAATACACTGTTTAGATCCGAGATGTTTTTTTTTCCAAGTACTAGGCTACAAACTCAGAATTCGATTGAAGGTTTTAAATTTTATTTAAGGTTTCAAATTTTAGATAAAGTGAAAATAAAATCTACAATCCCCTTTAGAAGAGTGTTGGTGAACAATTCAATGATAAATTATTAAAAGAATAATAATTAAACATTTTATGAAATAGCTGTACTTCTCTCAAGTGCACCAGCAAATAGAGTTTTGTTTATAAGTATATTTTAATGAGATATGATAACTGGTTTAAAATGGACCATGACCCCAATCAAATGTGACTTATCTGTCAATTGGATCAGAATTAAAAAAAAAATTGACCAATTTGACCAATAACAAAAAAATTAACAGTAAATGTCAACATGACTAATTATCATTAAATTAAATATGCATGCAGGCTATCACAATTGCCGGTTAGTTGTTCAATCTTTTGGTACTTGTGAAATTGATCTTTTGGATTTATGATTTTTCTGTTTACAAATATTAGTTTAGAATATTGAAGTGTTTGAAGAAAACCTCTTGAGTCTCTTTTGTAATAGGTTTTGTTTCTCAAATGTCATCCAAACACTATACCACTGTGTTATATTAACGTTGTATTATAATCTGTAATGATCAAATTATTTGTAAATATGCAAATGGGAAATAAAGTAATCTCCAGGTTGCTTATTTACACATACTTAGATAGTATACATATAGTTTTTTATGTATTTGACTAATTGACACATATTCCCAAAATAAAACAATATTGAATCCTCTTTGTCTGTGGTATGAATTTAATCTCTGAGTAACCTGGTATCTGTATGTGTTTGTTTCTGTGACAGGTGGCACAAAGAAAAAATTAGTGATGATGGGAGAATCTATCTCTATACACACTAGTGTTATTGAAATAAAGGGATACGATCTGGTATTGTGGAAGTTAGAAGACCATGTCATGGCTGAAATCAATAAAGGGACCGATCTGTTCTTACTACATGACACCAGTGATGAGAGATTCAACGGCAGACTAGATCTAGATCGTCAGACTGGAGATCTCATCATCAGGAGCACCCAAACCACAGATTCTGGAGTTTATCAACTACAGATGATCAGCAGCACACACGTCATACAGAGGAACATCACTGTTACCGTCAGTGGTGAGTAGATCAGATCTTTCAGTATCAATATCTTATTTACTTATGTGCTTTGTGAACAATTTAGATATAAAATGAAAACAAATTTACATTTCATTGAAAAATATGCATTTGACAAACAGAAGACATTCTGAGAGAAATTTTATACAAAAATTACAAATTCGTATGAGATAAATGTTATTATTAATGTGACTTCAGATGCAGGTCCTCACACAAATGGACCACTTATATGGGGTCTTGGGTCTGGGATTGTCATTCTGGCCTGCATTTGCATAATTGGAATTTGTTGGTACATGATAAAAAAAAGTGAGTATCTGCAGCTCATCTCCAATATTTGTGATTATTCTCATTAATCATGAGTTTTTCAGACTGAAGATTAATTAATACAGATCCTAATGTGTTTTATTGTAATTCTTTAAGTTAGTGATCTCATAGATCATAGATTTTTATTAATTTAAATCAATTTAAGTTAATTTTAAATACCTATAGTGGTCAGTAAGATGTTTTATAAGCAGGTAAATAAAATAATTGATTTGCATATAGATCATTTTTCTATACGTTTTTAAGTTTGTTTTTTTGTTTTTCAGGGAGAGATTTCAGAGAAGTTTCAACCTCATCATCAGGATGAGTCTCCCAACTGCAACAGTATAACCTCTGTAATAATACAAATGACCTAAGCCGTATAAATTGACAAGAGCTGTATTTGGTACAAACAGGCACGGTTTGTTTGTTCTATGTATTAATTTGCATTACACACTGGTCTGTGTATTTAGTCTGTATTTAAGATTAGGGATGCTCCAATACCATCTTTTTCAGAACCGATCCGATACCAAAAATTCTGAGTATCGACCGATACCGATACCAATCCAACCGACAGCGTCTGACACCTGGTAGAGAGTAACACAATTAAGTTACAGCAATAAAGTCCAGCAAGATAAAGTTGCTTTATGTGAAACCACAGACCTTTATCTACAGATCAAGTATAATAATATTAACATTGAATCATCTTGAAGATACTTTCATCGTTGACTGTAACCTAACGCAACGCGCTGTTTGAACGCTGAATGGAGAATGACTGACAGCCACAGCTGAGGGAAAAGTTTACGTGATCTTGAATTTAATGACTTAAATATTAATTACTTTCTCACGTAATGGCTTCAGAACACTTATAATATAGAGTGCATGAAAACTTTATGGTACTTTAGAACATTTTTGTGCCTTTTGTGGAGCTTAACAATAACATGAAATAGTATACGCACAATATCGGATTTGGATCGGCCTCGTCTGATCGATACCCGATCCGGCAAAAGATGGCAGTATCGGAGCCGATACCGATCCTGAGTATCGGATCGGCGCATCCCTATTTAAGACATACAGTACAGATCATTTTACTTGTCCAGTTTAATGCTATATGCACTCCAACTGTTTTGTATGAGAATTTTGCTTTTTATTACTTGTTTATGGCATGTTTTTATTTTTTTTTATACATTTCTATTTTTTTTTTGTAGTTTTGTTCAAATTTTTGCAGTGTATTGATCATTTTTATAGATTTTTAAAATGTTTATTACTGTTTTGTTTTCTGCAACTAAATCGGACATTTTTTACGTTGTGAATCAGAAATCCTGTAATACTGTTAAAATAAACCAAATCAAGAAAATGGAGCTAATATTCATCCAGCCTTAAACATGCATATGAATGAGCATAATTAAAAAAAAAGCGTAATTCAGATCCTTATTCTTGTTCTGAGGTTATTACATATTCTTATGTTTTTTCTTCTTCAATAAAACATGAACAAGTAAGAAAAAATAAACACGAATAATAGGCTAATGTGAAATTAATTACATTTCTGCTATTTATATGGTTCTCGTTGTTTAAGCTGTTGGCATGGGATTTGTAAAGGTCTTAATTACTGTGCCATCAGTAACTGCAGCAAAACAATTCCTTTATTTATTGACCATAAACTCAAAACAGCCTTACTTAACCTAACGACAGAACTTGAAACCACAGTTGGCTAACGATGCTGTTTGGAAACACCCCAGGCTAGTTAATATGCTTATCCGTACCTAAATGGTATTGGATTGTCATCAAACTATGGTGGATATATAATGAAAGAATAGGTAAATGATGAGCCAGAAAGAGAAATAAACAAAAAGTCAGGATATTTATTATTGCTATACAATATCATGGACATCACTGTTTGATCGTCTGTGCTCTTCCAACTCTTCTGATGTCATTAACCAGAAGAACAACAGCAGCCACAGCAGCCACGCCCATCAGAGCAGTGACGACCAATCGGATCACAGCTTCGGTGGTGTCAAAACAAAGGTTGCAGTCTGAGGAAACATAATAAATCGAGCACTGAAAAACAGCTTTGTAAAAACAAATTTCACAAAAATCCACCAAACTGGCTCGAGAGTACCTGGACAGGACTGACAGAGTGTGTTGATGTCCAGATGTGTGGTCTGGTTGCTGACAGGATTGTTGATCACACAGCTGTAGGTGTTTTTATCCTGATATTCCACATCCAGAGGTAGAGAGAGACTGATGCTGAGATCAGACACACTGATGCTGGACAATACACTCATTCCTTTGAGCCAGGAGAGAGTCGCATGACTCACATTCAACACTGAACACAGGACTATCCTTGAACTTTCAGGTGATAAAGAACATTGTGAAGCGTCACTGAAGATCACAGGAACGGGTAGAGGAGCTAGAAAACACACAAACAATAAAGGGAACCAAAAGTAAACAAAAATAGAAAGATTTATATTATTTAATTGAACCACGAAAGAAAGCTCACCATAAACAGTGACACCGAATCGCATGATTGACTTCTTATTACTGATAATGATGCTCAGCTGATAAACTCCACTGTGTTCCTGTCTGACGTTTGTGATGGTGAGATCTCCAGTCTGTCTCTCGAGCTGCAGTCTATCTCTAAATCTCTCGTCATCATATTTAGTTACGTTTCCCGCCGCTATTCTGGTTATTCGAGTTTTGTTCGATCCAAACCTCCACTCGATCTCATCATCGCTGTGTATTACGGTAAGACCAGAGGGGAGAGTGAAAGAACCTCCCTCCATCACTGACACGTTTATCTCATCAGTCTTAACGCCACCAAACACTCCTGAAGAACAAGATTAGATTACACAAATATGTCAAAAATCTAAATAATGTTAATCCTCCAAAGAGTAACTTGAGTAGCCTAGTTTAATTCGAACTCACTCACCATCCAGAAGAAAACATGAATAGAGCAAAACAACGAGAATCATTTTCTTCAAGCGTTTGAATCGTATCCATCAATGGCTTTACGCCAGTAATAAAACCTCAGCTTGCTTTCATGAAACACGTCTTTAAACGCGTTCCGTAATCACAATTCACAAACACAATGTCTGTACAAGATAACTTGCGGGTTGGAAAAAAAACTATTGAGCCAATCAGAAGGCTCCTTCAGTCTGCGCGCCTCCGTGTGGTGTGCGTGCCGCTGGTCGTGTGCATGAACGCGCTTTTCACTGATAAGACCAAAGAAGCTCAAATACTGATGTCGTGGCTCAGTTTCGCATCCTGATTTTTATTCCTTAGCTTTTAATAACACTGCAAAACAGAATCCCGTGTTTTCACTTGTTTCTATAATCTATTTCAATAGCTAATGACTAATTTTTAGCGACTTTAACTACTTTTACTTTTGACCAGCTCTAATTCTCTTCAGAGGTGCTGCGGAGTACGTTTTTCTTTCCATAACGTTGCAGCATTTGTTTGGTTTGCATGAGAAAGATAAATTTAATTTAACAGTAGCCTACTGTTTTCATTAGATATTTAAAGATGACATAGGCCTATACTCAAATGCAAGTACGTTCTGTCTGATCTAAATCACTTCAGATGATCTCAGTTCTCACTTTATTTCTCTTCTCTGCGGTTACAGACCGTGTCTATGATCAACAGCACTAACAAAACCTCTCGTTCATGTACAAACCTCACAAAATACACTGAATAGAGTACAATGAAGAACTGATTTGATTCGAGTTTACATATTAATTCTTTGTTTGTGTTAATTTCACTTCTCATTTCATACATCTTTTGAGTTTAATAGTAGACCACATCCTGTAGATGTTTGACAGTATCTCAGCAGACACAAACTGACCCTTCATGCTATATCATGCACTGAGTGAGATTTATAAGTCTGGACTTTGTATTTATTCCCTATACTGTTTAATTCATCACTTGTCATGATGATGTCCTGCATTCTTTCTTGGTGAATGAAAATATATTGATATATGATAATTTTTGGGGAGTGGTAGGGGAGGGGGGATAACAGTGTTGTGCAGTTAATTTGTTAGGCTATGTCTTGCCATTTGAAAAAAAACCAAACATATAAAAAACATTTAGGAATTGGGACATCGCTTTTTGCCTTCAGACTTCAGATTGTATGACTGTCTTGCAGATTGAAACAACATGACTTTTCTGAAAAAGAAGAAGCTGATAACATGTTTGTAATTTCAGTTGATAGGATCGTGGACCCTACTCCACTTTTATTATATTAAAAAAAATGTTTGGTCTTCAGCTTCTTCCTAAAATGTAATAAATCGAAATTTGTCATAATTGGCTCTATGCACAGCTGCACTACTTCCTGAACTTCCTTTTTGCCATTATTGGCCAAATTGATTAATTCAGGTGTGTCTGATTATTGTTGCCATGACTACTGAGGTCAGGCGCACCTGAATTAATCAATTTGGCCAAAAATTGCAGACAGGAAACAAGGAGCTGGCTGAAATTCAGGAAGTAGTGCAGCTGTGCATGAAGCCCATTGACAAACGTAGGCAAGGTAAGTTTAATTTAGACTATAAATCACATTTCTAACACAATGGCAATTCAAAGTGCCTTACATAAAAATAAATCATAAAACAATCACGACAAGTGCTAAGAAATAAGTATGACAATAAAAGCAAGAAAAACAGACACTGATGAAAATTTATTTATCTGTATCCAAAAAGTAAAAAAAATACTTAAAAGAGGATATGTATAAGATACAGTGTACTCAGTCAGATATACAGCTCATTCAGTAAATGCACAGCTACAGATGTGTTCTGAGTCTGGATTTGAATACTGTTGATGTCTTCTGGAAGCTGGTTTCTAATGCAGAAAAGTTAGTTCATGCATTCATGATCTTGAGACTAGATGCTTTATTAGCCGGTTGTCCTGCATCCTCAATAAACAAGCTATAGTTAGTACAAAATGCACTAGGTCAAGAAAATATGATCATATAACACCAATTTTATCACACTGGTAGTTCCATATCAATTACAAAGTACTACTACTGACTATAAAGCCCTAACTGGTTTAGCTCCAGTGTATTTAATGGACCTTCTATCACCCTTTAATCTATCGCGTTCTTAAAGATAACTAAATTCGAGGCTTCAGGTCATTCCTAGGATACAGTATCTAAGTCCACTAATCTAGTTATTGCTTTGACATGACCACTGAAAGGCCTGACTCTAGACACAGCAAGATTCCTGACTTGATGAAGGCCGTCTTTATAGATGTTTATAAATAGACTAGTTCCGTCTTCCTAGGTTCATCGGTGTCTCATGCTGATGTTAGTTTTCTCCACTCTTGTTCTGGATTTGATGTCATAAACCAGGACAACAATGGCAACCACAGCAGCCACGCCCATCAGCGCAGTGACGACCAATCGGATCACAGCTTCAGTGGTGTCAAAACAAAGGTCGCAGCCTGAGGAAAGACAAAAAATAAGTAACCAGCTAAATAAATAACACTACCGAAAAAACTCTGCATCAGACCTACCTGAACTCAACCAATTGAGATCACTGATGTGTTTAGTCTGGTTTCCTATGGGATTGTTGATCACACAGCTGTAATTGTTGTTATCCTGATATTCCACCTCCAGAGGTAGAGAGAGACTGATGCTGAGATCAGACACACTGATGCTGGACAATACACTCATTCCTTTAAACCAGGAGAGAGTCACATGACTCACATTCAACACTGAACACAGCAGTGAACATTTCGATAAAGGATATTGTGTGCAGTAACTAGAGATCTCAGGAATGGGGAGATGAGCTGGAAAACACAAGATATAAATGACAGTAAGATGAATATAAAGTTGGATTCTGAAATATTATTATGGGTAATGAGTCCCAGGACTGACATGAATATGAACAGACAGGAAAATGCACTCTACAAAACCGAAATCTACTCACGATAAACGGTAACATTGTAAAGCGCGGCTGGATCCTTCACTCCGATGCTTTGTTTATAAACTCCACTGTGTTCATGGCCGATGTTTGTGATGGTGAGAGATCCGGTGTGATTATCCAAATGGAGTCTGTCAATGAATCTCGAGTCGTGATAATCTGTAGAGAAGACACCATTCTTTTCCTTGATTCTTGCAATGCGAACACTTCCAAACCTCCACTCGATCTGCTCATATCTCTGTATGTCCGTGATGGTTTCTAGAGTGACAGATTCTCCCACCGTCACTGGCACTGTCTTCACCACATCGGACTCAGCAACAAGCACACCTGAGGAACAATAATAAATCATGTAAATACACAGAAATATGCCAACAAACAATAGCCTAACGTCCTATTTGTTAACATAACAATGCATTACAGTATGTGTCATGAATTAACAACGTAAATGTATTAGTCTACATGTAGAAAATAACAGTGGCCCTAGGCCTAACCTATCTATCTATCTATGCTAATTATCTTCCTTTTTTAGGTAATTACACCATATTACCTTGACTAATGTTAACTAATTTGAATACCAAAAATGGAAATCCACAAAAAACTAAAAAAAAAGAAAAGAAAAAAAAAGAGAGGTATATGTTCACATTATCCCATTAACATTAGCTGCCAGGAAATGAACAACCAATAAATAACAAAATAGAAATAATAAATAGAAAAATTACATAGAATCCAGTGCTTTGAAAAAAATATTTTGTTTGTTGTAATAGATTATATATATATATATAATTTAGTCATTTTAATTCATTTAGTCAATTTGGTTTGCAAACTTTGCATTGAGACCACATTTGCATTTTTTATGTATAGGCTATGGTATTTTCCTAATAAAACAAAATAACTGTTGTTCTTTACATTCCAAATTGTCATTCTAAGTATAAAAAACATAAAATACACAAATTTCTATCATACACTTCAGTTTTCTACAAATAAAGTTTTCTAAATAATTCTAAAATAATCTTGAGTAGCCTAAATACAAAGGGGAAAAAAACAGATACAAAATAGTTTATTTTTCTAGCGCACGAAATTCAAAACCACGTAGGCTACTTAAACATCATGTGTGCGATTTCAGTGACGTCATAGGCTGTACTTACCAACCAGATGAAAAAAGCACAAACAGAAGAAAATAAACGCGTGGATCATTTTCTCCAACCGTTGAGGTGAATCGCTAGAGTCTGCAGCCGATTTTGACAGAATGTGTTTTTAAAATACTATCTGATACCTCGAAATACTGTCTGTAGATAATTTGAGGTTTAGAAACTCCTTCCCTCAGCGCGCCTCCGTTAGATGCGCGAGAACGCGCTCAGTTTAGTGCACGGGAACGCGCTCAGTTTAGCAGCTCAGCTCCACTGGTGTGTGTTCGGGTGTTTTATAACATGTTGCCTTCATCCAGTCTGTGTTCCTTAATAAAGATCTTTACTGCAGTCGTTACTTTTTAGACTATGAACTTTAATTCACATTTATTTGTAACACTTTACACATTACAAAGTTGTTTCAAAGCAGCTTTATAGAAAATGCATGTGTCTACATTATAATTTAGATCTGTTATCAGTGTTGACTGTCCTTGTATTTCAGAAATGTAGGCTACATGTATAAATTGAGCCCCACACTTTATCAGGAAGGCTATTCTAGAGTTTAGGTGTTAAATGTGAAAACCTTCTTAGTGGACTTAGATATTCTAGGTACAACCAAATAAGGCGATAGAAGGAAAAGTTCCCCTAAAAATGAAAATTCAGTCAAAATTTACTCTCTTACTAAGTTGATTTAAAACTATGAATTTCTTTCTTTAGCTGAACACATTTTGAAAAATATCAGTAAGATATTGATGGACCCCATTGACTTCCACAGTATTTTTTTTCCTATATGGAACTATGGAAGTCAATGGGGTCCATCAATATCTGATTACTGACCTTCTTCAAAATGTGTTCAGCAAAAGAAAGAAATTCATACAGTTTTAAAACCACTTGAGGGAGTATAAATGATGACAGAATTTTCATTTTTGGGTGGAGTATATGCAAATACACAGGAGCAAACCCATTTAGGGCTTTATAGGTCAGCAACAAAACCTTAAAATTAATGTGGAACTTAATAGACAACCACTGTAGAGATGATACAATTGTTATATGATATATTTTCTTGATCTAAGAACTCTAGCAGCTGCATTTTAGATGAATCGTAGCTAATTGTTTATTGAGGATGCAGGACAAGTTTGTGTTACAGTAACCTAGAGGTCTAGAGGACTTTTTTGTTTGAGACCGTCACTGACACACATCTCTCATACGTGTAGAGGTGCTGCATGTCATTTTTCTGTTGTGCACTTGTTTGGTTCAGTCTACTTTCAATAGTTGTGGTCTTAAAGGAAATAATAATGCCTTCGCTTGTTTACCCATCAGTCAACCGCACACATGCAATAAACAGGAGCGAGACGTTTGTCCACTCAACAGAAACCACATTCATCTGGGTCAGTCTTCCTAAACTAACCTGAAACACACTCGACCACAACAGGTTTCACTTTAACTCTGAAACTGAGCTGAGAGTGTGTGTAGCATTCAGTGGAAACATGTTTCAACTTGCAAGAGAAAAACGATTTATTCCACAGAAAAGAAAAAGCCCTTCACACACTAACGCTCAGACATCCAGGGAAAATAAACACCTTTTATTTGTGATTGTGTTATTGTCCTTTTTTTTTCTTGTCTCACTTTTGGTTCACTTTTAATTCTGGTAACAGACTCGTGTCTAGAGTTGTTTTAAGATAACGATTCTGTAGCCATTGAATGCAAATAATCTTAATTGGAAATCGGTTCTCTGATCGGATCAGTTGTGAGATGGTCTCAGTTCCTGTGGTTATTTCTGCATCTTCTCTTCTCTGCGGTCAAAGACCGTGTCTACAGGGAACAACAGCGTTAACAAAACCTCGCGCTCATTACAATCCTCACGAAATACATTGAATAGAGTCTAATGAAGAGCTGACTTGATTTAAGTTTACACATTAATTCTTCTTACACATGTTATTTTCACTTCTCATTTCATATATGTGTTTTTTGTGACTTTGAGTTTCCAGTAGACCACATCCTGCGACGGTATCTGTCTCGACACACACAAACTGACCCTTAATGTTCTTATATTGTGTTGTCTAGGGAACAACAGCATTAAAAAAAACCCCTCAAACCTCTCAAAAAACACTGAAAAAAAGTACAATGAAAAACTGACTTGATTCATGTCACTTTGTGTACACATTAGTTCTGTGTTCTTCTCTTTTTAAAGGGATAGTTCACTTTGAAATTAATTTTTGGTATGTTTTTAGCTTACCTCAAGGGCATCCAAGCCCTCAGATCACTTAGACGTGACTATGAAGAGGTAAAAACTATATAAATACTGTTTGTTTTCTCACACAAACCGCTCGTTTCGTGTCTTAGGCCATCAATGTGTACTTACATTTACGAGTCATTAAATCATGTTTAATTTGGACTTCTCATGCTCGCTCTTTGAGGTGGTGACCATAGACCTCCATTATATGACTGATAGACGTGAATGGTTTGACCTAAAAATATCAAAATTGAAAATACTGTGGCAACAAAGACTTGGATGCCCTTGAGGTAAGATAAAACAAATCAAAAATTAATTTCAAAGTGAACTATCCCTTTAGGACGACTATATATTTTTGTTAACTTCATGTTCCAGTTGACCAATGACATTATTACTTGTTTAATGTGACTTATGTTTCAATCATCATCCTCATAATCTCTTATTATTAAAATATTCTGCAGGCAAAAAAAAAAAAGTTTCAGCAGACCACATCCTGCAGACAGTTTCTGTCTCAGGACACAAGTTTTTGTGTATTTAAACCACATTTTTCAGTGCACAATTGAATGAAAATGTGTATTTAGAGAGATTTTAAAGTACAGAGAGTTTGTTTATCACATTTTTTATTTGCTTTGATGTAGATATGTGATTACAGGGAAACTGCGTGACTTGTGTCGACTTGTGATATCAAGCCATCATTTCGCATATGAATTTGGGCTATATATTGCACATCTTCGCCTCCTAGTGTCCTGAAATGAAAATGTCTGATTGTAATAGACTGAAGTTGACCTCACGATGATGTAGCAAAACCTTTTTCTCCACAATGTAAAGTTTGACCAAAACCTGATCAGACAGTTAATTTTGTTATATGCTCATGAGTAAAATTTGCTAAGGATATCCTCATGGGAAATATGTGCTAATAATAGGTTATGTTCATGAGTAATATGTGCTAATAATAGGTTATGCAGATCCAGACAAGTGTTTTAAACGGATTTCTACATAAAGAAGTTGTACTGACTTGTACTGCATCTACTGATTACAGCAGCACTTGTCTTGATTCGGTTGACAGTTCCAGTTATTAGGCAATACATGATACTGACGATTAATAAGAAGATTATAAATATCAAGAATAAAATACCCTGTCTCTCTCTCTGTGTGAAAATGTTCAACCTTAATGAACACCTCAAGGTTCACTTTGGGATGACGTATCACATCCGCTACCTTCGCAGAAATCACGTGACTTAGTTCGATTAGAGCCCATCATCATCATCATCATCATCATAATCAGTAAGCTATCCTGGATCAAGTCATTCAGTTTGGATGCGGTCAGAAGTGACATCAACATGAGGAAGCTGTCTCTCCTTTTGGGGCTTGTATTACTTGTCCATGGTGAGTCACGTTTATATTAATTCGACACTTTCGGTTTTCAAAACGCGCGTGCTGTTAACTTAAGATGTTTGTGTGCATTTCTGAACCAGCGTTTCTTACCATTCTTAATAATTATTACCTTTATTCAAAAAACCGTTTATTCATATGCCAGGATGTCAGCACCATTAAAAGCCATTAAAAGTGTAATTTTAGTAGAAGTGGTGTGTTTGTTTGATGGTGAAAACTAGAGGGTGCTGACTGCTGACGCCCTGCAATATCCTACTATTTTACGTGAAAACCGATAAAAGAATCAGTGTTTCTGCTTATAGTGGAATTTAACATAATCATTCGCTGTTTTGGTCTATGCAGGTTTTGTGAGGTGATTGTTGTCAGTCATGGCGCGAGAGAACAGAAGACACAAATACAGCACATTAACTAGGTTACTCTTTAGTGTGTTGGTGAACTATATAGCCTATCAATATAAAAGACATTTTTAACTTTTTTTTTTTTATATAAATTTAAGAATGATCCGTGATAATGTTTATTGCTTTACAACTTTCAGTGGAACTAGGTCAAAACCGGAAAAAGATAACACGTGATTACCATCAAACGAGAATTTTTATGGCTGTTACGAAGCTGCTCTTGTAACAGGTGTGGGTTTGTTTGAAGTGTCTATTTCTTCAGAATTTTTATGCCACCCGGCCACGCCTTATTTCATTCGAAAGATTTTTTGTCAAGGTTTTTAAATTATTATTGTATAATTGGAAGAATATAAAACCAGTGAGGATTCGTAGAAATGACTCAGAGAGACAGTTGTGAGGGATTTAAGGAGTTTTTGAATGTACACTCTAAACAAAAATGGTGCTATATAGCACTAAAAGTGGTTCATTGGCTTGTACTCATGGGGAACCACTTTAAGTGCCATATCTTTATCAAATGGTGCTGTGTAGAACCATAAGAGGTGCATTATAGCACCTTAACCACCCCATAGAACCGCTGAAGAACCCCTGAACAACCGCTGAAGAACCAAACTGGGCTTAAGGGGTTCTGGTAATGGTGCTATATAGCACCATGACCACCGCAAAGAACCCCTGAAGAACCGCTGAAGAACCAAACTGGGCTTAACGGGTTCTTTTAATGGTAATGGTGCTATATAGCACCATGACCACCGCAAAGAACCCCTGAAGAACCCCTGAAGAACCCCTGAAGAACTGCTGAAGAACCTTTTTTTTTTTTTTTTTTGAGTGTCCAGGTAAAAAGTTCCTTACAAAAAACTAAAGTAGGGCTTAGTACCCTGCGTGTAAGAAAATAAAGTCCTAGAAATACTAGCAAATTACTAGAAAATAAATGTTTATTACAGTACTTTATTAAAGTTGAAATGAGCATCTCATTTATGCTATGGAAAATATGATATTTCCACTTGTGAACTGCTATTTACCATTGTTCAAGTGCTTTTGTTGTCATAGAGCCTAATAAGTTTAGAGCCTACATCTGGCAAAGGGACTACCAATGAAAACTAGCCTTCGGGCTATTTTGGATATATTTATGTTTAAGAATGTTAATTAATGTACACTGGCCCCTTTTTCTAATAAATAAATAAATCTGCTACAGCAAGAAAATGATTTA